CGGTTTAATGACTCGTTTGACGAGCTGATTCAAGTTTGGTTCTACATTGCACGAACTTGTAGTTTTGACCATACAGTAGGACTTCTGTGCAAAGCCGCACTGGCCTTGGCGCTACCGTTACACCTCCAAACATTTTCCAAATATGTTCGTACCAGAAGGCTGTCGTAATCGGGCTTAACATACAAATTAACGCTATCATTCAAGTTTTTAATGTTGTCAGAATTATCCTTAGACTAATGCTATTGTCCTTACGTCTAGCCAAGCACATTTTCTACCGTAACCCTAACGTAACAAGATAGGTCCAAAATATTTAACTCAAAAAAGATGGATTCCAACCTTCTATTTACATTAGATACTGAAAAGATTTTGAAATAAAAGGCATATTCGTTCAATTTAAGCAGTTAACATTCTGACAATTTGTCTTACTGTAGGGATATAGATATAGCGTAACTGGTGGTCAGAAATGTCGCTTAGACCCTTATATTGGTACGCTTAGCGCGGAAATCAAGACAATTTATTGCAACAATTTACTATCTTCACTTAGAAATACGGTATATAACTGTACAGTGTATCTGTGATTTTACAGTGGCTATATTGGAAGGTAGAGAAGGTAACCGCTTTTCTAAAAATATGCTGTCATTTTTTTCTTCAGTTGTGTAACAATGATGCGCGGAAAGATAAATATGCATTGATTTGGACAAGATAGCAAAATTAATTTCATGCTCATCATTTATAACTACTCATCTTTTACTACATATTCTTAGAAGCATATCATATAAACCATAAATACTACATAATTACATAATTAATCGTATAAATTTACGCTACGTATATTATATCTTATCTCTTATATTTTACATAACTTATTCTTTGTTTTCCTATTGTTTTGTTCTTTTTCTGATTTTCTCCAATGACTTTTTCTTAGAACACAGTTAAGTCAATCGCCAAACTTGATCCTCAGGTGAGGTTGCCTTAACTAGTTGATGATGCTTTTAAGTGCATTTGTGTAATTGAGCGCATCTTTTACCAAAGATCTATGAATGATGTTTTGAGCAAGGAAGAAAGTCTTTTCAGAGTATCATCTGTTACAGCACAGCATCACTGATTTGACTCTTCCATTGATTGAGAGGGAAAAAAACAGCAGAGAGGGGAATTGAGATTGTTTAGTGCAGACTGTTTTTTAGCGAAAGGCTCATCATCCTGCTACAACGATGTTAACACAAATGCAAAGCAAAAGACTTTAAACTCATTGGAATGCTGATGGAATCACTTAAAACTGTTGCAAACGTATTAGTGCTTGTTTAGCTAGAAAAGGTTCTGAGGAAAGAACAATGAACCTTGCAACAGCGTTTACATAACAACGTATCTCT